ACATGGCAGGGGGTCAGACTTGATGAGCTGCTCCCTTCTGACCCTATCAACTATGAAACTATGATCTGCACTTTTGGAAAGTATTTTCATTTGGCATGTTTGAAAGTACTTCCTGAAGGAAGGTAAGGACAAAAAGAAAACAGAACAAAAATCCAAAATAGCTATGCCAGTGGCTCTGGTACTGTAATTATCACCTTTATTCCAGCTGGAGAATTAAATATCATGACAGCAGTTTGTATTATTTTGTATCCTATATGCTTATCTTTTTAGATACATATTCATGGAAAACTAAGGAATATAAGGAAAAAAGTTGTCCTTGGTCGAATTCCCCTAGCTTTCCCCACCAATATATTACTCCAAAGGGCAATATATGTTTGTCTTCTCATAGGGTAGCAGAAGTAAACCTTCTGTCCCTGTTCAGTTTGGCAGATTAGATTGAGGACACTGCTTATGGAAGTTCCTGTATGAAAACAGGTGTGGGATCTGGCCTGTCATGATCAGCAGGTAGATATAATAAAAAAACAATATATTTGAGATTTCAAGATTCCTATTCAGGTTGATAGAGGCTGAAAATATTTTTCTGCTTAAATGTTGGCGTGTAAGGACTTCCATTGCTGACAGCAAAGGGGGGGGGGGGGGGGGGGGGGGTGTTCCCCGATGCCTCCCCCCGCCCATGCATCACCTGTGGTTATAAGGTCACATAGAGATATGACCTAAACTAAAAACATAAAAACAAGTAAAATCAATTAAAAAAAAATGTAAAGCAACTAAAAAGCCACTTGCTCTTTACCTAATACCCAAAGAGAAATGGAAGTCCCACAAAGCAAAAAGCTTCTTCATTTTGAGTTTCCCAATTATGTGTTTGGACAGCCTGGTGAAGCTTTCAATGGTGGGTATAAATACTAGGGATTATTGTTTATCATTACTCTCAAGAAAGAAACATTTCTGTTCTTGCATGTACTCATATACCTATCCACACCTCTAAATATTCATTACTTTTTTAGTAGCAATTGTTCTAAAATGAACTCTCATTAGCAGCAGAACATATTGTTTTGACTGCTTTCACTCTTTGCTGG